CATCCAACCTGTTTTTCTGCTCCTGTCCAGTATCTGATATTAGGAAATGCTGCAGAAATTGTATCTCTATCGGTGTGCAATGTAGCCAGGTTATGGTTCCTGTGGCTTTTGGATGCATATCGTTGTAGTCACTGCCTCTCTTAGGAGGGTATGAATTACAAGGGAGATGGGTCATCATATAAAAATATCAATAGATCGAATTTCCCTTTCTCCTGGCCCTTCACCTCTCAGCCAGGACCTCACATTCAGCTTTTCTTCTTGACGCTGAATTTTCTTGGGTTCTCTCTTCTGCAATAAATAGCAAAGGTGGCAAGTGGTGGTGCGCTGAAATAAATGGCACCTTAGCGCTCTGAATCAGGAGGTGGTGTGAGATGCAGCCCAGGATACACGTGATTTAAATGGACAGTGTTACTGGGGCCTGATCATTGCAAAAGCTGGGGGCAGGTTGCTAGCCTTGGCTAGAACGCAGCTGGAGTCGGGACTGGGCTGTGCCCCTTTGCAGCAAAATCCGCGGGAGGAAGTAAAGAGGCAAGAAACCTCGAGGCGATTCCTTTTCCGAGCCCTCAGTTGTTGCAGCAAAGGGGAGTGGGGTTGTTTCCCCCGGGACAGAGCTACTCCTATTCCTCTAGGATCCCTGGAGGTTTCTCTACAGGGCAAGTTGGCCTCCACAATGATTGCATACATCAGGTGCCTCCATCTCCGGCTGCTTTCAATTCGGCCGTGTTACCAGAAACTCCCCAGGCTGCGTGACCACCTGGGTCAAGGAGGTGCACAATGCCTCCCTCCACCCCTGCTCGGCGTGCTCAGCTCCGTGTCTACGATCCCAGACCCACGCGGGATAGCTCCACGTGGTCCAGAAAGGCGAGTCTGTGCTTGGCTGTTTCAAGATGTCCTGTCCCCTCCTCTTTGCCCGTTGGGGGGAAATTGGTACCCAAATGGTCCCTGTCTGCACAGGATGTGATCTCAATCATTCCCCAAGGACTTCATGGGGTTGCTGTAGCTTGACATCAACCCTAACCATTTCAGAACGGCTTTCCCTCTCCTTGCTGGGGAGGTTTCACTGTCTGGATGTGATCTGAGGTTATGCACCCCCTCTCCAGGTTATGCCCCCACCCCAGCTTCTTTTTATGGAGAGTGGGTTCATATTGCTGTGAAAGGGCTGGCAGGGAGGTAACAAATTAACACACCACCTAAAAACACTGACACCGTGGTTTTTTTAGCTGTGAGGTGCTAAGTCATGAAAATGCAACCTGATGGGGAAAAATAGCCCTCTTTATCTCTGTGCTGAGTGTTACAGTTCACGGCTGCTTTGCAAAGAAGTCATCCCGGCCCCGCTCCCACAGCCAGGAAGGGAAACAAGGAGCCAGTTAATGTAATAAAAAGCCACCTGCAAAGTGCTCTAGGGGTTGAAGCTGTCTTCAGGTTGCTGGGAGGAGCTGGAACAGAGGCCTTGGAGGTTGCAATGAAGACAGCACGGCATATCGGATGTGTTGGTTTGTTGGCACGATGGAGCATGGCAGGCAGGTGATTTGCATGTGGTTTCCATGGGAGAAATGAATCCTTGGCTTAGTTATTCATGCAGAGTAGTCATACAACGGCTCAAAGTCATAGATTCTTTGATTGTAAGGCTGGAAGGGCCCTCAGAAGATCATCGGGTCCGGCCCCCTGCACCAGGCAGGAAAAATAGTCCATTAGTCTGACACTGAAAGCACTTATTTTGATGCGTGAGTGTGGGTGGCATTGGGCCTAATGTTTTCAGCAGAGCTTTGGGACGATACCCCTCCTAACGCAGCCTCACCCATAACATCTTACACTTCACTCGTGGCTGTGGAAGAGGAAGGATCCCAGTAAGAGCACATTGTTGGGGCAATGGAAAGCAGACAGAGTTTGATATCTCTGAGACATTGAGCCAGCGCTTTCCTAAGGAGCCCAGGGTCACCAAGGTGGGAGGCTGAGCTTTACAAGGGAGAAGGGATCCCGGTTGAGCTAATGGATCTCGGCTGTGAGCTCCTGGGTCTTGAACCTGAGCCTGAGATGGTTTTACATCATCTGTGCGTGGAAAGTTTGCAGTTGAGTTTTCGTCCTTGGGGAGCTCCCTGGTTTAGATACACACGCCTGGGTCTTCAACTGCATTTCCATGGTTTCACAAATACAGGTGTTTGGTTTGATGCGGATGATGCGGGTCCATTCCCCTGCTTCCATTTCGGCTAAAAAAAATAAGCAGCGTCTCTCCGATAGTTTCACACACCTGCTGCTCCCAGCACAGGACATAGATACATCCCTAAGGGCTGTTCTTGTCACCCGTCGAGAAAGCCGCCAGATCCATCCCTGCTCCGGGGCAACAGGGAAAGTCACTTCTCATTGCAGAGCTGCGGCAGGCAGCTTCATATCACTGGTCTCATAGGAGCACGAGAGTTTGGTTTTAGTCATCACGGTGGGTGAGGCTATGCTGCCTTACATATTACAACCAATGTAGGACTCTGCCAGTCTTGCATACTTATATAGCTCCTATGATTTGAGCACCTCTAAATCCTTTATATATTCGTTCCCAGCCCCTGGGTGGTAATTACCCCCCTCTTCCAAATAGGGGATGTAGCATTCATCATCTGAATATCTCACAGTAGTGGAGCAAACTCCGGGAAGTTTCCAGCTTCTTGTTTTTCACCTCGAACAGACCCCTTCTCCCTTCCCCTGCTAAATCTCAGGGCTGCGAGAGGTAAGGACACGGTTATGGATGTCGAAGGCTGTCAGGTGCTTCCTCCAGCTTCAAAGTGCACCTTGCTGAGAGAGCATCTTGACTCTGAGCAGCTCATCGTGCTTTAATCACCAAGCCTTTCCCCACTCAGGAAGGAGCAAGAATTTGGGCAGAAATCTGCCAGATGCTGTGCTGAAACCAGTACATTTAAGAGACGTTGCACTAGATTTTTCCAGACGCTCCAGGGTTGTGAGGATCGGTGCTTTGGTGCGAACTCCTGTGTCATTTTATTCAGAGAAATGGGTGGGGTTTGGGGTTTTTTTTGTTTGCAAGCTCTTTGCAGAGTGAATCCGGTTTGCTCAGATTTATTCTCCGCTAGCACCGCACAGCTACCAGCAGGAGCAGAGATGGGCACAGATCTGCTCATGCACCAGGGGTGCTGGTCCCCCCTGCATCAAGAAGGACAAGACATGCTATAAAACACCCTGGGAAAATGAATTAATCTAATGAAGCCCCATTCGCTCTCCAAATTAAGAGAGGCCTGTGGGTTATCACTAAGCCTCTATGTGATTTAAGCATGAAACGGCAGCTGGAGCAGAGCCTACCACTGCAGTGCATTAGCTGATACCACATCATATGGCCAGCCCACCCCTTCCATATGTGGAGCCGAGCGCCGTGGCGGGGAGACGCAGGGACGTGAGTCAGCACAAAGCAGGTCCGGGAGAAGCCGAGTCAGCTTGACCCTGATGGGCTGGCTCCATCATTTTTCATTTGCTGAAAGCATTGCAGAAATTAAGTGAAGTTTAATTGAAGCTGGGTTTTGTTTTTTGGCGTTTTTTTTCCCCCCTGCTCTTCGCTGTTTCCAGGCAGGCGGGGGAGGAAATGGGTCTAACGTAACGTGATATAGAAGAAACTAAAAACACTTCAGCTCTCTCATGAATGGGATGGAAGCCGAATCGATCACTCCTGGGATTGCGGGATAAATGACCCCTGCATGGCTGGGAGACGCAGCGTGGGCAGGGATTAAGAAGCTAGTCTGCCGAGTGGCAGCAGGCTGGTTGTTTCATAGTTCAAACCACTGCACAGCTGTGTCCAGTTGCTGTCCTCGGTGTATAGAGCACCTAGAGATGCACAGCAAGGATCAAAGGGCACCTGGAGAGTAGATGGTGGGAAGGAACAGGAGAGCAAAAGATCGTGAAGTAGCTGTTTAAGACCTGGTGATGTAATTCCCAGGCAGCCTGAGCCTACCTAGGAGTTGGCTGATAAATTGCCAAGGAGATTTCCCTACCTTGCTGCATAATAAAGGTGACCCCGGCCTGGATAGGAGCAAAGCAAAGGGCTGTGCTGCAAGTCCTGGAGTGTGCCTTGTATCTTCTGTATCTGGGGTAAGCGTAATGTGCCAAGGAGGCAGCACAAAGGCAGAAAATGTGACCCGGTGCCCTGCAATCCCAGAGAAAGCAGCATGCATCGGATGCTACTGGGGTTCAGATGCCAGCGTCTGACACGGGCATGGGTCGCTGTCACACGTCGGTGGGTAACTGGTGCCTCCTCCTCTCGGACACCTGTGCGCTTAGCCAGGCAGATGCGGGCGCTAGCTTGCGGTTCATGTTGGCGGTCTGCGTCATCTGGGAATGCACAGACGCTCCTCGCTGCAAGAGGAGAGCAGATGCTGATGGATTTTGCCTCACCCACATCTCTGCATGGCAGGGAAGGATTGTTAGGCCTTGTTTAAGTCGGGATGAGGCAAAGAGGAACGAGGTTGCTCCAGAAGTGATGGTAGCATCACTTGGTTTCCCCCAAGTCTTATGCCATAATTGTTAGACCATCCCTCCTAGCATACTAGCAAATACCACGTGGTAGTAGCAAAGACTAGCATACTAGCAAATACCATACTAGCAAATACTAACCTCTGCTCCAACAAAAGCACTCTCCAGAACATCCCACCAGACCTTCCAAGACCTTTCATTATTGAATAGCAATAGTAGCAGAGATTGGAGGAGTTTGCAGCAGCAGTGAGGCCGTTACAAGACAGCTAATTGTCAGCAAAGCACGTATCCCATTTCCCTGCCTAAGCAGTCCGTGACCACGCGCAGATACCGACAGCTTGATCTACCTCGGGGATCTACAGGAAGTAGAGCTCTTTGTTGTGTTGTTTTTTTATCTGGATGGATCGACATTGGAGGTAAATGCACAGAGAGATTTTGGAGGCCTGTATAAAGAGGAGGCTTTCCAGGTGGGTAAAATCTGGTGGAATAATTGACTTGCCTGTTCACTTTACCATAAGGCTCATCCGTTCTCGGTCGCAATGGAGAAGCCATCCCTGCAGTATCGCTTCCTCAGCCTGGTGAAGGGTATTTATACCCAAAAGCTTGCAAAGAAGAATTTTCCCAACTATTTGAGTTGGTCTAATAAAAGAGATCAGATTCACCCAAAGAGCCTTGTCTGCCTGTGTCCTTAGACCAACACGGCTGCAACCTGTATCCCTGCAGTACTGAAGCTTGCATTCACGGCTGCACTGTGCTGCACCTGATTTATAATCCTCTAAATCCCCAGAATATAAATATGGGACCAGGGTTGGTTCACTGAAGCCACAGCCAGGCAGCATTTTCCCGTGGGCCACCAACGTGGCATTTTAGCAGTGTCTATAGAGTCAGCCTTGATGGGTTTTGTAATGGAAGGTGCCCAAACCTGGAGCTCAAAAAGCAGATCTCCTTGGCAACCATTGCTATGTGAAACACTCTGAATTGGAATTCGTTATCATAATTAGGCTGGAGAGCGTTTGATGTTGTAAATTCTGAGATGCCAGATTTACCGAGCTAAGTAGCCATCACTGTGCTCTGGGAGTGCCGGGTGCCCAATGTCTCCTGTTACTGATGGCCATTGCCTGTCTCGTTCTGCACAAAGCATCAGCAGCAAGGCAGACGAGACAGTTTTTCGGGGGAAAGGCACAGGCAGGGAGAGTAGCTTAGCTCAGTTTGTATCTCTGGCATTTTGTTCTCCTGCGTACAGACAGCAAAGCTCGGGCATGAAGTTTAAAGTGGCTGGTACCTAGAAGAGACCGACAGCAATAAAATACGAATAAAAGGGGCTCTGGGCACAGCTGGAGGCGAGGGCTGGATAAGTAGTCAACCCGATTGATTTGCAAATACATCGATGAATAAAAATGTCGAGTGGAGCTTGCCCCGATTCTTGGGGTCCTATTTTTATTCATCATTTCTGAGAAGTCAGGCGGCAGCTGTGCATTTGCAACAGATCATGGATTTTAACAGCAACAAGCTGGGGCAGAAACGCATCATTAACTCTCCCGTTTAAAACATTTAATTTGTCCAGTCAAGTGGCATAAACCAGAGCACGCAACCACCGTGCCCAGCCACCGGGCATAACCCGTGCTCAGAGTACTAGTAGTTTGCAAACCTGGAAATGCCCACAGTCCAGAAACACCTTTCACGTACCGGTCAGGTGGGCAGGAGAATCGCTGGCCAGTTTGAAAAGGCTCACACCTTTGTGCCGAGCAAGCAGTCACCCACAGCTCATCAGATGGGCCTGACACCTAAGCTAAGTTCAGATCCTGCTGGATGGGCGGAAAGGTTTTTCCTCAAGCCTGAAAATATTTCCATATCAACAAAGCATCTTGCCCATGTCACACATGCTACCTGTATATCTTGCTTTATGAGCGTATAACAAGTAGCGAGGGCATCTTTTCTTGGTTGTATGTCTGACCGAGTGCCAAATGCCTTCCAGGAGTGGAACAGGGGGAGGATTATAACAAGAAGTTGCGTCTTAGCCATGAGAGTTGTGTTCATCTCACAAAGGAGTCCCTGGATTGACTTTGAAGCATGTTGTCACATGGGACTGTTAAAATACATGCTTATACAGGGCTTGCAGGTATGTCCTTGAGGTACGTCTGTGCTTGGTGGAGCTAAAGGGGGCAGAAGTAGGGCACAGGGGGCATCCCCGTGCAGCCAAGAGCAGCTGCAAGCCAACACGAAGACAAGGGGCTGGACCCAATGATCTGTAAGGTCCCTTCCAGCCCCTAACAACTATGAAACGATGAAATCTTAGCCCCTAGGTTGGGTAGGGGAGAGTCCTTGCCCCCCATGAGGCTGCCTCCTCTATACTTGGGAGCAGGACTGGGAGCACAGAGGAGGGCTTTGCCGCAGCCCTATACAGAGCCAAGGAGCATCAGAAATAGGCACTGGGAAGCTACCGAGCAGGCTAGCTCCCTGACCCGATCCCCTTTCACAAGCTGGAGAGATCCTAGAAGAAGAAAAGAAATAGTCAGGAAGATGACCTTGTTGGTGATCTGCTTGTCTCCTTATCTGAGTCCTTTCCAATGGTTTTGCCACCGGGGACATCCTGGTTTATTGTCATGTTTTCTGGCACGCTGCTCAGAGCGGAGGACTCTTGTTCACACTGCGACGGAGGCTGGTTTTCTGAGGAACGGGTGCATGCAAGTGTGGGAGTGAAACGCTTGCCGGGAGCCAGGGCCTCAGTGAAAAAGTGGGAAAAAGTGTTCTCTGCATCATAGGGATTTGGGGGAGCTGCTTCCTTCCCATCTATGTCCCAAGAGGGGGCTTGAAGGGAGCCAGGAGGATGGCAATGCACTCTGTTTTCTTGCCAGAATGCTTCACCCTCGTGATGATGAGGATGCCAGTACAATTAGGGTCATCCAACCATATTTCAACTTAGCAGGCCCTCAACCATTGCAGTGGCAGGGCAATGATGATGCCCCTTGTATCGCCATGTCTTCACCTGCATGCCACGTCTTTACCATATCATCGGGTGCAGCCCCTTGTCTTTGTGTTGGCTTGCAGCTTCTCTTGGCTCCACGGGAATGTATCACTACGTCTTTACCTGCATTGGTTTCTTTAGGAGGGCTGTGCACAGGATGGCTTGGTGCAGGCAGCCCTGTGGACCCTTTTAGACCAACGGGTGCCTGTGAGCACAGGGGCTAGAGTGGCTCAGGAGGCCTCTTCCAAGTCCCGTGTTCCTAACGAACTCAAAACGCGCCTTGTTCATCTCAGTCTGCATTCACCACATTGGTTGTCTCCTTAGTGTCTTGCACCAGGACCCTCCCTGCGCTCCAGACAGGCGAAGCGTGATGCACGTTGATTCTCAAGTCAGTGCCCACCTCTCCGCCCCTCCTCACCTGCTCGCTGTGTTGAAGTCATGCCGGGGAAGGAGTTAGAGATAATAGAAGTGATTAATCACCTGCTGACACTGGGGATTCATTTAAACTCCTTTTGCAAATAAAGGTTGCTTGCTCACTCTAGCAGACCTGACTTTGGGCTCTGCACGCAGGTGCAGAATTACCGAGCTCGGTTCGGAGGCTGCGTGACGAGCGCAGCAACTTTCCACCGCGAGCAGAATGAGCCGTGAGTCTAGGTTTTGTAATGAGTTTCGCTTGTCTGGCTATTTAATTACTGCTTAGCGAGAGAAAAACCAGGAGTCCTAGCACTGGCCAGGGAGCACAGGACTCCTTTTGATCCTGCCTTTTGTGGACTTGGGCAAGTCCTTTGAAGAACAAGTTTTCAAACTGGTGGCTAATTGTAGGTGCCTTCATTTTGGGGGACTTAGCTTAACCCATCTCCAGCTGCTATTTGGAGGGGCTGAGAAGTCCCAGCCTAAAGGAGAGCTGGGACAACTCAGCCCGTCTAGTTGTGGTCAGTATATGAAAATGGGAGACATCCAAGCAAGAGGGCATTTCTGAGTGTGTGAGCTTGAATCTCTGCCTCCCTTACTATGTGTATCATCATCATCATCATCATTATAATAGTCACTTGCCTGTCTCTCACAGGAGTAATGTGTGGGTTTATAGCATCGGTAAAGTGCCTGGAAGATGCAAAGTGCTACACAACTGCTTATGTTGTTCAACAAAGCCCTGGCTGGAGGCTCTGTCCTAGGGAAGTCGAAGGAGCAGTTTTGTACCTGACAATATCATCTGTTCCAAGTGAAGAGGAAATACTCCAACGGCACTTGTGTGTGTGGAGAGGGAGGAGGATTATTAAGACCCTTGGCACAGAAGAACAGAGGCACTTGGATTAATTGCACAGAGTTGCACAGTCATTTATCTTGGTGCTTCTCAGCGTTGTGCTCCCTGCTCACACCCCTTGGCACTGCTGCTGCCTCCAGCAATTTTCTTGCTTTTCCTGTTCTAAGCTCTTCGGGGGGCCCATCACCTTCAAGTCTCCCTTTTTTTTGCTCTTCCCCCAATGCCTGTTTGTGTGTCTACATTTCTAATGCACTTGTCACGTTGTGGGGGATGGTTGGCAAAAGCTATAGCCCCTTCTGAAATATAGGTTTGTCCATGAACCCTCAGTCATGCTTCTTCCCCCTTTGCTCAGGATGAGTAGGGTGCATATAAGCGGCCCCTTTGCAAAATGTACTATATCGTGACGAGGCGGCTGAAACGCCATCCAGTCCAAGGGACTACTGTCCCTTGACTTTTATTCTCGTCCGACCCATCCCTGCTTGTCTTTTGTCCACCAAATTCTCAGTTCATACACAGATTTTCACTCAGACTCATAACCTGGGAGTCCTTTTAATGGTTTGGATTACTCCTACCAGGTGTGAGAATTAATTTGGCAACTCTTTGGAAACCTTACAAGTGTCCAAGTCCCCCGCAGTAAACAAAGGGAGCAAAAACCGGTGTTCGGGTCCCGGTGGGTTGATTCTCCTGTTGTATCAGCCCATCTCCTTTGATCTCCATGGGGTAACTCTTCTTGCCTTACTGTGGAGGAGAATCAGACCCTCTGGTTCTGGCCCTGTGGTCTTTTATGCCCTCCGACCCTGCGGAGGGAGTGTGGTCTGGCTTGTTTTAGCTAATCCATTGGTCTGGATATAGTTTATGTTCCTCCTCACCCCTGTCTCCAGGGTCTTCACCCCCCGTGTATTACATGATAAATACACTGTGCATCAGTGCGACTGCTTCTTGGCACTCAGTCCCTTCTAATCACTAACTGAGGGAGACAGGAGAAAATACAATTAAACAGATGGAGGAATTACCAAATAAAATGCACGTTAGATGCTTGAAAAATCATTATTTTCCAGTAGTCAGTTAATTAAATAAATTGGGTAACGAGCACGTGCAATTAATCGTGGTTTGGAAATGTTTGCGTCTTACACTTCTAGCTTGGGCTCAAGGGTGTTGGGCACTTGTTTTCTTTCCTTCCCGGGCAGGAGGAGGAAGAGAGATTGGGGTGTGTCTTGGACGATGGGTGTTGGAGCAGTATTTAAAAGCCCAAGGTGAAATAGTGCTCAGCAATGTGCACTGGGAGGGAGGCAGGGAAGGACACCGTCCGTGCCATGAAAGGGCACCGTCCCTGTCATGTTATCCAGACAAGTTGAACCAAATGTGAGTTGAGAGAGGTGAAGTGACTTTTAGCGTCATAGAAAATGAGGGTTGGAGGGACCTCAAGAGGTCACATCCAATCCAACCCCCTGCTCAAAGCAGGACCAACTAAATCATCCCAGCCCAGGCTTTGTCTAGCCGGGTCTTCAAAACCTCTAAGGATGGAGACTCCACCACCTTTTCCAGTGTTTTATTACCCTTCTCATGAGAAAATTCTCCCTAATATCCAACCTAATCTTCCTTAGTCCACGGTGGCTCAGCAGACCAGTGGTAGAGCCAGTCTCCAGTGCTGTGCTCACTGGGATGCCCTCCTTATTTAGCACCACCCTCTCATGAAGTGGACTTGGAGCCAGGGTTTTGTGGCTGCTGCCTTTGGACGGTGGTTTTCCTTGCAAACAGCACACACTAAGGTGGGCCCAAGACCAAGCTCACATTGACTGAGATTTCCAAAGCCAACTTCCAGACCTACCTGTGCCATTTGCACAGAAATTAGTGCGAGCCATGTTGCCAGACCCCCAAGCAGCCTTGCAGACGCTGGTGCTTGTTTCCCAGGCCGTTTCATTCTTTTTTATGCTAAAAGTAGCACGTTGCCCATTGCAATTCTTTCATTCCTGTTATGCTAAAAATTGCATGTTGCCCATTGCAATTCTTCTTTCATACTTGTTATGCCAAAAGTCACAGGTTGCCCATTGCAATTCTTCTTTCATGCTTGTTATGCTAAAAGTAGCACGTTGCCCATTGCAATTCTTTCATTCCTGTTATGCAAAAGTCGCACATTGCCCACTGCAGTTCTTCTTTCATTCTTGTTATGCTAAAAGCAACACATTGCCCATCCCAAGAGGTCTGGGACGTAGAAACCTCATCCTCCAGATAGTGAGTGGCCTCTCAGCTTCTGGGGCTGACATTGGGCAGTAAACATTGTTCTTTCTCCTGCATGCGGTAAGGTCCATGTATGTGTATTATGAGACCGTCTTCCCATCTGCAAGTAGAAGCAATCCTTTGGAGAGAGCCCTGTATCGAGAGACTTAATTTCCCTCAAAGAGTGTTTAAATCAGCTGCTACGTTTATTTGTTCAGTGCAATCTTGCTTTTAACCCAGTGTCTCAGAGGACTTGTTTAAAGCCACTCATCAGCAGGGATCCTGGTTTTCTCTGATTTTAAAAAATCTCTAGATTTCGGTTAAAAAAAAGTAACCCCAAATTCACATCTCATAGATTCATAGATGTTAGGGTCAGAAGGGACCTCAATAGATCATTGAGTCCGACCCCCTGCATAGGCAGGAAATCATTTTTCCATGATTTAAATGAAACACCACTAATATACAGATAGAGAATTAGATATATCGTGATGTTTCATTTTAATCATGGAAAAATGTGGATTTGGGGTAACTTTTTGTAACCGAACATTGGGGATTTTGTTTAAATCAGAGAAAACCAGGATCCCTGCTCTTCAGGCTGCGAAAAATAGAGGCTCCTTTAGGCTCTTGCTGTCCTGAACCTCTTGGTTCTTGATTGTTTCTCCTGCCAATTACTCAGCTGTTCAGATGAGGAGCAGCAGGGACATACACCCAAGAAGCAGAGTTTTGGTTTGGTTTCCTAATGCAGAAAGAAAAACCACTGCTACTTGGGGCTGGTACATCTCCAAGATGGGGGCAGATGACAGAACAAGGAGCAATGGTCTTAAGTTGCAGCAAGGGAAATTGAGGTTGGATATTAGGACAGACTTTCTCACTAGGAGGGTGGTGAAGCAGTGGAAGAGATTACCCAGAGAGGTGGTGGGATTCCATCCTTGGAAGTATTTAAAGACCCAGCCTTGGCTGGGATGATGTAGCTGGGGCTGGTCCTGCTTTGAGCAGGGGGTTGGACTAGATGTGACGTCCTGCAGTCCCTTCCAACCCTCATTTTCTACGATTCAATGAAAGCTAACAAGTACTGAGTGCTCTGAGTGCCCTGTCTAGCTAACAAAGGGAGCTCTTCTATTCCAGAGCGGTTAGCATTTCTAGAGTATTACATGGCCATTTAGCCTTCCAGCCAGTGAAAAGTCAATGGATGTGCAAAGAGTAAAAGTTCACTCACATTTTGGAAATGGCTTAAATGCCCAGCACTTGTGTTGAACAGTGTAGGCTTGATTCTCCTCTTAACGTGCAGTCATTTTCTTCTGAACAGCGGAGTCGTTCCTGTAAGCCAGCTGCATGCACAAATGTATTTCTTCCCACACGCTGTTTATAAGAGTATCTCAGCCCATCGCTCTGGTCCGGGGCTGAATTGTAGCACAGAAAGACTTTTTTGGCAGGTGCACCGTCTTGATTAATACATAGGGCTTTCCTCCAGACATCTGGCTCCTCTAAGGCTGTGTGCACAGTACACGGGGAATATGCAGACTAGCATTACCCAATGATTCATGTTAGCTGAGGACAAAGAGCAATTAATGAGTTTCAAACTTTGCTCGCACTAATTATTATTAATTCGGTTTTTAATTCAAGCTGACTTGTCCCAAGTAAGTTAAGCAATGGGCGCAAGGCAAGCTTTTTAGAATGGACCATTTACTCCTTTAATTTAACTCTTATTGTTCCCTTGTGTCTGGATTAGTTTTTTTTTCTGGCAAATAGATCTTGGTTTCCATGATGGTTTCTCCTCTGATTTCACAAGGCTTCCACCAGCAAAGCATTGGGGTCCTATGCAGACAACCTGTCTCCACTTGGGTTCATGTATGAACCGTATTCTGCAGCTTTTCTCCATCCTTGGAGGTTTTTAAGACTTGGCTAGACAAAGCTTTGGCTGGGGGGGATCTAATTGGGGGTGGGGGCTGGACAAGACGTGACCTCCTGAGGTCCCGTCTCACCCTCGTTTTCTATGAGTCTGTGATTTTCTATTGTTGAGATTGGGGAGGTTGTGCAATTCAGTGAAGAAGAAACAAAAGGAAATAGGCAAATGTAGTGAATTGTAAACCCCCTTTTTGCCTAGAAAAGCTATAGCAGTTATACGCATTGAGCTTAGTTTTCAAAATGTGCTGGTTCCTTTCTGAG